CACATTATAACGCCCCTACGGTTGAAAGGGCGAGCTTGTTTGGTGGGACGGAGATTCGACCCGCGACCCTCAGATTGCGAGTCGAGTGCCTTAACCACTCGTTATAATGTGACGGTCAATCCTATTATTCGTTGATAAAAGAGTAGCCCAAGAGTTGGCGATGGGTGGTGATGACTAGTTGCCTTCCCTCTAGTCCTACACTGCTAAATTAGGGACGGCTGGCGCAGATAGCCCTCGTGTAGCTTTGCGCGAAATTCAAAACAAACAAAATTGTTTTCTGTTTTTTAAAATTATAATGTTTTGTTCAATTTATTTTTATTATATACAGAATATTTTGTTGTTATTGTTTTTTTGTTTTTTTTTCAGGCATGACAGTAAGGTAAAGCAATGATAGCACCAGAAAGAAGTTATTATGATGAAGAATAAAATTGTTTGTTGTGAGTCATTTTTTTATTTCCTCATGAAAAAAGTGCCAAACCGCCCGATTACCCGGTACACATTGATGTTGGTGCTGTGTTTATCTGCGGCTTCCGCGTGCAGCGTGAAGACAGTGACAGATGATATCAAAAGGTTTTGGGGAGTACCCGACACCACAGCTACAGTTGGAAAAATCTTCAATTACACCATCCCAGATGATGCGTTCTCAGGACATATTTCTCACTTGGAGGTAAGGTGTAACTCTAACTTTCAAGTGCCGGAAGTGTTATATATTTGTGTGTGTGAAGCGTGACACATATATTCCAAAACCAGTTAATGTCTGATAAAATGTATTCAGCCTTATATAATGCCCTTGATTGGAGTAACTCTCTTAAATTGTCAGTTTTGATAGACGTATATTTATCTGTATATGTGTGTTATTTATCTATATACATATGCACATATATAAATACACACGAAACGGAATAATAAAGGTATATAGCCAAGAAAAAAAAGCGTATCGTTTTTTTAAAGTAAATTAATGTTATTTTTAGATTAAAAAAGAGGTGGAAGTTTTGATGTGTACTTTGAGAAAGTAAGACTACGTTCAGAGCTAGGGCTTATGTGTGAAAATTAAACTCAATCCATGATCATCAGAATTATCGAATATGAATAGGTGTGTAAAATACTTATAGAAGATAATAATGCTACGTAGTCGTAAATGAAGCTACAGGAAGTAAGATAAAATTCAAATGGAGTGTTTGTAAGACGCCCTCTATTTTAGTATATAAGTCCGGTAAATGATTGCAGATATAGAGAGATATAGAGACAGATAATTGAGTCAAGCGAGCGGTAGTGACCGAAAGTAAAGTGCGTGAATCGTTGTGAATTATAGCGTATGTTTTTTCCACAGTCACTTTAACTTTTAAGTGTATTGCAAAGTTGTATTGAGAAAGAATAAATTAGTTTTATTTAAGAAAGGACTTGTATCGTTGACGTTCTTTGGAAATAATTTTTCCGGGAAATTACGAAACGAACAGAGACGTAAGAATATGAAACCGCTGGTATACGAACGTAGCCATAGTTACGTAGAAGGTTTGTTTGGTAATCTGAACGCAAGAGTAAATGTGCACAAATCATTATTATAAAGAATCTTCTCTCACACAAAACTATCAAGTAATACTATACTTGCTTAGAAAAATCTTCCCAAAGATCACAGCAATCAAACGTTTTCGTTGCAGCTTTTCACATATTTCTATGTAGCATTAGTAGCTTGATATCTCATGCTATTTCAAAGATTTATTTATAGCAAAACTTTTGTCACGCATAGATATATGTATTTACACTTTTATACACTTTTCGTTAGACAATGAAATCTTTAATCTCACTTTAATCTCATTTTAACTTGATTTTTGGTAGTTCGTTACTAAGAAAAACAACAAGCATCTACGCTTCGTTCTATTTAACTTCGGCTAATTTTAGAGCCACAGAACTTCTCTGCGCATGAGTCATCACACCGTTGGTGCAAAAAAAGTCGCTTTACGAGGCGTTAGTGAACATCCAGGCCAAAACTGAAAATTGAAGTATCTCCGATTTGTGCGTTTGCATAAATTATGAGTGTAGTGGATCTGAAACTGAAAAAGTATGTTAAGGATGGCATACCATCCCGTGTGTTAGAATTTTTCTAAAAAAATGAAAGTAGGATCTGCAAATCATGGGCGTAGACAGGTTGGGTAGATGCCTCATGCCTGGACGCCCACGTTTTCTTAAAAAGAAAAAAAAAAAAGAATATAATTTGACATATTTGGCAAAATAGGAAAAACAAAAATAAATCCTGCGATGTTAGTAGATGCCTGCCATCTTGCCGATAAGGAAAAAACATTCCCTTACACATTATTTAAAAGTATGCTGTATGGATGAGTCATTTTTTTCATTCTTTATTAAAAATAGAAGAATGCATGTATGCTTGTAATTTGTAACAAGCACACAGC